TCCTCAAATTTCCATCTCTTCCTGGTTACAGATGTATTTGATATATTTATTGTTCAGTCTACAACTAAGCAAATCAAATGAACCAAATTCATATCATCAGCATTTCGGCTCCTGATTCTAAAATCATTTTAATAAAAATCTCACTTCTGATTTCAATGAACTGCACAATAAAACAAAAAATACAAATATAGACTTACTTTAATGTTCATGATATTCCGGAGCCAATAATTGGAGATCCCAAATGGAAGATATTTTACAGTATTTGAATCTTATTCCATATTCAAAACAAACTCTTGCACTAGTAATATAATACGATTATGTTGAGGTACACCTGAATTGCTGTAACATGGCAATCTTAAACTACCTTTGAGTCTTTCTCCAGGTTCATTGCCTGTATCTTATTACAGCATTTCGATGACTAGAGAGAAAGGAACAGACACTGACTTTCTTGGCTGCCAGTTCATTCATGACGCCTCAACCGGAAGCTTAATGTATAAAAATTTCATACCTGCGCTTGCATCGTGTCCCCTTCATGAATCTGATGAATGCACGCATAAATGACACACGTTAGAACACCTATTTTGCACAAGCTTGCCAATTATATCCTCATGTAGTTTGCACAAAATTGTATATTTCAGGTTGCATGGAACATCCTTATCACGTCTGAGATTTATTGAGTTACTCCAAGTATGTATACTAAACAAGTCAGTGCAATGGACCATTACTGAAGATATGAATGCCATTTGTTTGCACATTTCAAATGAACAGCGTGATTGTAAATTTTGTCTCATTTGTCTGTTCTAAAACTCGTCCCATCACCAACAAAAGTATTATGATAAAATTCTGCATCCCTGTTCATTTGGAGCAAGACAAAAATTGTACAAATTGCGCGTTTAGTGTCTTCAAAGTTTTTTTTAAGAATTTCATCGGAAAATAGAAAAAGTAGTTAGATAAACAGAACGCAGTAAATAGATAAGACCAACACCAATTACAGTTAATGGCTCAATTGGCAAGTTAGTAAGAATATTTTGTAATTCAATTCCGTATGTATCCAGTTGATTATGTACTGATTTATGCACTTTTGCTACAGGTCTTGCTAATATTGTTAGCTTAAGATACTGTACTACCTAGATCTTCTCGAACAGCTAGGTACGAAAGCTTTCAACTGACATGATCATTTTATTCAAACATTAATTACTTTACCAGTATACAAGGAAGGCATTTTGTTGAAAAAGATCAAGATTGGTGATGTACATATGTGACACTGAATTTTGTGACAGATTCATGGAGAAAACGGAGAATGTAAGATTTTACATTTCTGCAGTTCTTCTTGTAGCAAACCTGTAGGTCTGACGTGTAAAGTTGGTTGCCAAATAAATTGTATTACTTTTACATAAGAGACATATAACTAATATCTAAAGAAATCTAGATTCTAGCTACGTAAAAGTTTGCAGATAACAATTAAGCACTTTTGCATACAACAACCCGAGTAAACCATTCGATTGTTTCCAAACAAGTTTCCCGTCTTCCTCAGTCGTTATAGCACGAGACTTTTAATCTGAGGGTCGTCGGTTCGAAATCCAAAATATTGATCAAAAAATTCTTCCCATTTGTGTCTTAATTTCAATTTATAAATTAAAATTGGACTACTTTATTCATTTTTAGGACTTAGTTGTTTGGATTATGTTTTAAGTTCTCGCTTTTTTACCAATGAAATCCTAAAAGCGGATTACGCGTTCTTGTGTCCACTATTTCCTTTGAGAAATAATTTTCGTTATTCGCTCAAATCTGTAAACTCATCCCACATGCACATCCTATGTAACTTTTATAAAGTGATATAAGAGAGGTTTACTTTACATCTCCATTGTGTATTCTTTACTTTGTCCACGTCACAAAGATTACGCAAAATCATCAGAAAAGGAAACGACGGACAGTACCTTGCAGTGCTAATCTCTCGTCTTTTCTAATTTTATACATATTGACTTTAAGCCCAGCTTTAAAAATGGCGTTAAGCTTTGCGTTACAGTGCAAAGTATATTTTATAATATTGTTCGTATCGTTAGATTACTACATTTAATTTGCATATGATGCATTAGATGCTTTAGGTTATTTAATTCAAGACTTTTCTAATAAAATTCAGTTGAATAAGCTATCCCACTCGCACGTACCTGTTGTTATTCTCTTATATATGGACATTACAACTAAGATTCAAAATAATCTAGAAGTTCTGTTTGTGAACATGTGGAAACAATGATCAAACACCTTGTGCAAAACTGAACGAAAAATCTTTCAACTATTTCCTATCAAGTAGCCCACCTAGCTCAGTCGGTAGAGCATCAGACTTTTAATCTGAGGGTCGTGGGTTCAAGTCCCACGGTGGGCGCAAATATTTTATTACGATTTGTAATGTTCCAATACTTTTCACACACGTATATATTGGACAAAAATTAATAGAGTTGATGAAACTAGCACAGATACGTTTCATATAATTAGGTTTAAGTGGAATATTAGTGTTTCTATTTCAAATTCTTTACCTTTTCATTGTCTTCCTGGTTGCCAAACATCCGTTATCAATCTAATGATTATGGTACTGATTATGCATGTACTCATCCCTAGAAATACACTCAAGTAAATGCGCCAGACCTTTTTCATAATTGCATTTCCTATACATACTTGAATTAACCAATAACTCCTCAAATTTCCATCTCTTCCTGGTTACAGATGTATTTGATATATTTATTGCTCAGTCTACAACTAAGCAAATCAAATGAACCAAATTCATATCATCAGCATTTCGGCTCCTGATTCTCAAATTATTTTCATAAAACTCTCACTGCTGATTTCAATGAAATGCACAATAACACAACAAATACAAATATAGACTTCCTTAATATTCATGATATTCCGGAGACAATAATTGGAGATCCCAAATGGAAGATATTTTACAGTATTTGAATATTATTCTATATTCAAAACAAACTTTTGCACTAGTAATATAATAAGATTGTGTTGAGTTACACCTGAACTGCTGTAACATGGCAATCTTAAACTACGTTTGAGTCTTCCCCAGGTTCATTGCTTGTATCTTATTACAGCATTACGATGATTAGCGAGAGAAAGGAACAGACACTGACTTTCTTGGCTGCCAGTTCATTCATGACGCCTCAACCGGAAGCTTAATGTATAAAAATTTCATACATGCGCTGGCATCGTGTCCCCTTCAGGAATCTGATGAATGCACGCATACAAGACACACATTAGAACGCCTATTTTGCACAAGCATGCCAATTTTATCCTCATGTAGCTTGCACAAAATGATATATTTCAGGTTGCATGGAACATCCTTATCGCGTCTGAGATTTATTGAGTTACTCCAAGTATTTATACTTAACAACACAGTCAGTGCAATGGGCCATTACTGAAGATATGAATGCCATTTGTTTGCACATTTCAAATGAACAGCGTGATTGTAAATTTTGTCTCATTTGTCTGTTCTAAAACTCGTCCCATCACCAGCAAAAGTATTATGATAAAATACTGCATCCCTGTTCATTAGGAGCAAGACAAAAATTGTACAAATAGCGCGTTTAGTGTCTTCAAAGTATTTTTTAAGAATTTCATCGGAAAATTGGATAATTTGTTGGATAAATAGAACGCAGTAAATAGATAAGACCAATACAAATTACAGTTAAGGGCTCAATTGGCAAGTTAGGAAGATTATTTTATATTTCAATTCCGTATGTATCCAATTGATTATGTACTGATTTATGCAGTTTTGCTACAGGTCTTGCTAATAATGTTAGCTTAAGATACTGTACTACCTAGAACTTTTCGAACAACTACGTACGAAAGCTTTCAACTGACATGATCATTTTATTCAAACATTAATTACTTTACCAGTATACAAGGAAGGCATTTTGTTGAAAAAGATCAAGATTGGTGATGTACATATGTGACACTGAATTTTGTGACAGATTCATGGAGAAAAGGCAGAATGTAAGATTTTACATTTCTGCAGTTCTTGTTGTAGCAAACCTGTAGGTCTGACGTGTAAAGTTGTTTGCCAGATAAATTGTATTACTTTTACATAAGAGACATATAACTAATATCTAAAGAACTCTAGATTCTAGCTACGTAAAAGTTTGGAGATAACAATTAAGCAATTTTGCACACAACCCGAGTAAACCATTCGATCGTTTTCAAACAAGTAACCCGTCTTCCTCATTCGTTATAGCACGAGACTTTTAATCTGAGGGTCGTCGGTTCGAAATCCAAAATATTGATTAAAATTTTCTTCCAATTTGTATCTTTATTTAAATTTAAGAACCAAAATTTGACAACTTTATTCATTTTTAGGATTTAGTTCTTTGGATTATGTTCAAGTTTTCGTATTTTACCAATGAAATCCTTTAGCGGATTACGCGTTCTTGTGTCCACTATTTCCTTTGAGGGGTAATCTTCGTTATTCGCTCAAAACTGTAAACTCATCCCACATGCACATGCTATGTATCTTCTATAAATTGATATAAGAGAGGTTTACTTTACATCTCCATTGTGTATTCTTTACTTTGTCCACGTCACAAAGATTAATGAAAAATAATCAGAAAAGGAAACGACGGACAGTACCTTGCAGTGCCAATCTCTCATCTTTTCTAATTTTATACATATTGACTTTTAGGCCCAGCTTTCAAAATGGCTTTAAACTTTGCGTTACAGTGCAAAGTATATTTTATATTATTGTTCGTATCGTTAGATTACTACATTTAAGTTGCATATGATGCATTAGATGCTTTAGGTTATTTAATTCAAGACTTTTCTAATAAAATTCAGCTGAATAAGCTATCCCACTCCCACGTACCTGTTGTTATACTCTTATATATGGACATTACAACTAAGATTCAAAATAATCTAGACGTTCTGTTTGTGAACATGTGGAAACAATGATCAAACACCTTGTGCAAAACTGAACGAACAAACTTTCAACTATTTCCTATCAAGTAGCCCACCTATCTCAGTCGGTAGAGCATCAGACGTTTATTCTGAGGGTCGTGGGTTCAAGTCCCACGGTGGGCGCAAATATTTTATTACGATTTGTAATGTTCCACTACATTTTACACACGTATGTATTGCATAAAAATTAACAGAGTTGATGAAACAAGCACATATACGTTTCATATAATTAGGTTTAATTGGAATATTAGTGTTTCTATTTCGAACTCATTACCTCTTCATTGTCTTCCTGGTTGCCAAACATCCGTTATCAATCTAATTATTATGGTACTGATTATGCATGTACTCATCCCTAGAAATACACTCAAGTAAATGCACCAGACCTTTTTCATAATTGCATTTCCTATACATACTTGACTTAACCAATAGCTCCTCAAATTTCCTTCCTTCCCTGGTGACAGATGTATTTGATATGTTTATTGTTCATTCTACAACTAAGCAAATCAAATGAACCAAATTCATATCATCAGCATTTCGGCTCCTAATTCTCAAATCATTTTCATAAAAATCTCACTGCTGTTTTCAATGAACTGCACAATAACACAACAAATACAAATATAGACTTACTTTAATGTTCATGATATTCCGGAGACAATAATTGGAGATCCCAAATGGAAGATATTTTACAGTATTTGAATCTTATTCCATATTCAAAACAAATTCTTGCACTAGTAATATAATATGATTATGTTGAGTTACACCTGAACTGCTGTAACATGGCAATCTTAAACTGCGTTTGAGTCTTTCTCCAGGTTCATTGCCTGTATCTTATTACAGCATTACGGTGACAGGCGAGAGAAAGGAACAGACACTGACCATCTTCGCTGCCAGTTCATTCATGACGCCTCAACCGGAAGCTTAATTTATAAAAATTTCATACCTGCGCTGGCATCGCGTCCCCTTCAGGAATCTGATGAATGCACGCATAAATGACACACGTTAGAACACCTATTTTGCACAAGCTTGCCAATTATATCCTCATGTAGTTTGTACAAAATTGTATATTTCAGGTTGCATGGAACATCCTTATCACGTCTGAGATTTATTGAGTTACTCCAAGTATGTATACTTAACAACACAGTCAGTGCAATGGGAAATTACTGAAGGTATGAATGCCAATTGTTTACACATTTCAAATAAATAGCGTGATTGTAAATTTAGTCTCATTTGTCCGTTCTAAAACTCGTCCAATCACCAAAAAAAGTATTATGATAAAATACTGCATCCCTGTTCATTAGGAGCAAGACAAAAATTGTACAAATAGCGCGTTTAGTGTCCTCAAAGTACTTTTTAAGAATTTCATCGGAAAATAGAATAAGTAGTTGGATAATTAGAATGCAGTAAATAGATAAAACCAGCACCAATTACACTTAAGGGCTCACTTCGCAAGTTAGTAAGATTATTTTATATTTCAATGCCGTATGTATCCAATTGATTGTGTACTGATCTATGTAGTTTTGCTACAGGTCTTGCTAATATTGTAGCTTGAGATACTCTACTACCTAGAACTTTACTAACAGCTACGTACGTAAGTTTTCAACTGACATGATCATTTTATTCAAACATTAATTACTTAACAAGTATACAAGGAAGGCATTTTGTTGAAAATGATCAAGATTGGTGATGTACATATGTGACACTGAATTTTGTGACAGATTCATGGGGAAAAGGGAGAATGTAAGATTTTTGCATTTTCTGCAGTTCGTCTTGTAGCAAACCTGTAGGTCTGACGTGTAAAGTTGGTTGCCAGATAAATTGTATTACTTTTACATAAGAGACATATAACTAATATCTAAAGAACTATAGATTCTAGCTACGTAAAAGTTTGGAGATAACAATTAAGCAATTTTGCACACAACAACCCGAGTAAACAATTCGATCGTTTGCAAACAAGTAACCCGTCTTCCTCAGTCTTTATAGCACGAGACTTTTAATCTGAGGGTCGTCGGTTCGAAATCCAAAATATTGATAAAAAAATTCGTCCCATTTGTATCTTAATTTAAATTTAAGAACCAAAATTGGACTACTTTATTCATTTTTAGGACTTAGTTGTTTGGATTATATTCGTATTTTCATTTCTTATAAATGAAATCCCAGATGTGGATTACGCGTTCTTGTGTCCACTATTTCCTTGAGAGGTAATCTTCGTTATTCGCTCGAAACTGTAAACTCATCCCACATGCACTTCCTATATCACTTTTATGAATTGATATAAGAGAGGTTTACTTTGCATATCCATTGTGTATTCTTTACTTTGTCCACGTCACAAAGATTAATCAAAATCATCAGAAAAGGAAACGACGGACAGTACCTTGCAGTGCTAATCTCTCGTCTTTTCTAATTTTATACATATTGACTTTAAGCCCAGCTTTAAAAATGGCGTTAATCTTTGCGTTACAGTGCAAAGTATATTCTATATTATTGTTCGTATCGTTAGATTACTACATTTAATTTGCATATGATGCATTAGATGCTTTAGGTTATTTAATTCGAGACGAATTTTGATCGGTAAGAGGAAAAACCTTTTGCAATATAATTCATTAGAATAAGATATCCCACACTCATTTAGCTATGGTTATACTCTTGTCTACGGATACGTTTTAATCTAGATAATGCTTGCAAATATGCATATATTAATTGATTCTATTTTAAAATCAATGGAATGAAAAGCCTCTCCCCCAACGGTGAGAATTGACCCTACGACCCTCAGATTGAATGTCGATTTCTTACAGACTAAGCTCTGACGGCTGATCATTCAGATGGAATCAGTTTTCTATGGTGGCGGTAATATTTGTGTTAAGTGGCGTTTTGCTGAGGCAATACCTATCTCGCCCAGAGCTAAATTCTTTGTCTTCATTTATGGTAAATATCATTAATTTGTACAAGTCTAGTAATGATTGTGTACTATATACTGGAAATGAGCAACAGATAGGTTATTTGAAAGATGTAAACACGATTATGAAAACTTAATGAATGAATCCAAGCTTTTATTTAGATTCACCGCCTGAAATTGAACGTCGGCAATTTATTTTTAGCACTTAGTATTTTTCACCAGTATAAAAATCGTAGTAGATACCGCAATTTTTATTAATACCAATTAAATGTGTCATGATCGTACCTCCCTCAAACCGTGAGTTCATGTACATCCCATACAGTTATTATCGACTGATGCGATACGTTTGTTTTACATCTGCTAGGTGCATTCTTTATTTTGTCCCAGTTGCAACGTTTGATAAAACTCTTCAGAACACGAATCAGCTCAAAGTGCAGTGCTAGTGTTTTGTCCTAATTTATACATATACTAAGCACGCATCACCAAAAAAAAAATGATGGCATTGAATCGGTGTTATATAAGCTCGTGCGTAGCAGACACACTCGCATGACGACATAGTAATTAATTTTCATATATATATATATATATATATATATATATATATATATATATATATATATATATATATATATATATATATATATATATATATATATATATATATATACACAAGTCGTGCCATCATTTTTTGGTGATGGCGTGCTTAGTCGTGACTGTATATGGGTTGGTACGTGCAGGCAAATCGATGGGTGCCATTTACTCGCGGACCTGGGTTCGAAACTCGGTAGAGTACGAATTTAATTTCTCTAACATGTATGATAGTATTGTTTGTATTAAACTATTAATTCTGCCCACTATTATCAAGATTCTACTACAGAATCCAAGGATAGCACAGTGTAATCTGTCTGATATATATATATATATATATATATATATATATATATATATATATATATATATATATATATATATATATATATATATATATGCATGCTTAGTCGTGTCGAAAGTTATAAATAATAAAATTACTGGTGAATATGTTTACGAGTTTCGAGTTTTGTCTAATTGGACAGGTCAGTCAGGTTGTATCTTAGAAGAATTAAGTTAATTCCCACTGGACACGTTATATCGCGGGGGTTTTATTTACGATGAAGGAGATTTGCGATTGTCATGTGGTGGCAGTAGTATTGATTATACACGTGTTTTTGCCATTTCGCCTTTATAAAATAACTTGCACTAGGCAGTTTCTTGTTCTTATTTCTTGTGCATTGTTGTAACATAATGTGAACATACTATTTTGTTGCTTTTAGATATTGTTTGAGAGAAAAAAAAAACATTTATTTGCACTGTTCAGTGGAAATATAGAGTTCATTAGACTATAATATTATTTTAGAACAATTGTGAAGTATTATTTTAGAACAATTGTGAATTATTCAACAGATTTCTGGACAATGCTAATTTGACTCGTCATAATTGCTGGCGGACCTGTATATTCATGGATCTGACATTTATACGGAATATTTCATTCTTTTGGACTTTAATAGAGCTTTTCCAAGATTATTTTGGATTCGGTTCATAATAATTTCAATTCCTCTTAAATCTTAATTTTATAACATCGATAATTTAATTGTTTAAGTTTTACAAAACTTTTTTGTTTTGCTTCTTTCTGTTACTTAGTTTATGACCATAGAGCCGTAAAAATTCGCACGAAAATGTGAGGTTAAGTTTTGCGCATTTTTCAAGATGGTATTTGTGCTGTTGAATATCCTTTGTTCACGAACTTTTCATAAAACGGATATCTGACGGAAACCTATACTAGGTCATGTCCTCTAGATTCAAGTATCGAATTACAACTTTCCAAATTTTCACATTTCTTTAAGTGAAAAAGTTATATATAACATGATCTTTCTAAATGATTATCTTCCGTAACACGCAATGCAACTTTTAATTTGATAGGTTTCTAAAGCTTGTGAATCGGAAATTCCAAATGTCCTGGTTATGAATCGGGAATTCTAAAAGTCACCAGGGCACGAACCTTTATCAGTCCAATTCAGATATTCTAATAAACGTATGTGGATTGATTATTACTTCTTTAGTGCAAAGAATCACATTTTTATGAAGATAACATTTTTTACGAGACATGTACGTTTTTAGGAGTAAACGTTTCAAAGACTTAAAAGCGCACGTATATGCTTTCGATGAAATTACACACACACTTCTTTAAAACTGC